CGGAGCTGGAGCCGGAGTTGGCACGGACGGTGGTGGAGAGCGTGGAGCGGCTGCTGCAGAGCTGCCCCCGGGGCGGCGAGGCCGAGCTGCGGGCGCTGATGAAGCTCAACAAGAAGCTGGCCAAGGCTGTGGGGCACATCTTCCAGCTGGAGGACGGTGACCGGCAGAAGGAGGAGGAGATCCGTCGGCACAGCGCGATCTACGGCCGCGGCGAGGCCCGGCGCCGGGAGGGCAAGCAGCTCACCCTGCACGAGGTGGGCTCTGCTTGAAGTTCTGGGATGTGCTGGGTTGGGACAGGGACCGGGGCAGCTCTGGAGGTGGGGGTGGGTGGGATTCGAGGTCTGCTCCTACTCGGGTGGCATCTGCCAGCCTGGAGCTGGTGCTGCCTTAGCCGAGGGTCGTGTGGGCGCTGCTGTCCCGTGGGCGCTGCCGTCCCTGTCCCCGCTCACACATCATCTCTGCCCCCAGCTCATCATCAACGAGGCGGCCGCCCAGTTCTGCCTTCGGGACAACTCGCTGCTGCTGCGGCGCGTCGAGCTCTTCTCGCTGTCACGACAGGTCGCACGGGAGAGCACCTACCTGTCCTCGCTCAAGGTTGCCAGGTGAGCCCAGACCTGGGAAACCCCCACCTCGTAGGCCTGGGAGCACCTGGCTGTCACCCCCTTGCACCCCGGGAGCTGCACCGTGATCCGGCGCTTCTGGATGGGGCCAGGACCGTGCGGCCCCCAGTTCCCCTCTGGCAGCGTGGGTGGTTTCTGCCTGACCTCGGAGCGTGGGAGGTGGGGAGGATGGGAATGACGGGGATGCCAGGCGTGGGCAGGGGGCACACCAGGCAGTAAAGGGATGCCTCTGGGGATACCCCATCTCTTGTCTCCATTCCCAAAGCCCCCTGCCCACCGTGCCAGGGCTGCCTTTTCCCTTTGCTCTCCAGCTGCTTCCCTCTTTTTCCGCCCCCGATTCCATCCGTGCCAGAACCCCGGCTTCTGGCATTGCCCTGCCTGGCGGCTCCGCTCACAATGTGGGGCCTTGCTGTGGCCACCCCCACGCCTGATACAGCCCCCTTCCACCCCCAGGGCCCATCCCGAGGACAGCGGTGCCATCGTGGCCAAGCGGCTCAAGCAGGAGGTGGGTGCAGCTGCAGGGGGAGCGTGTGCAGGTGCGCACACCTGCGAGCGTGGGTGCGACATGGAACGTGCCCGGGGCTGCCCATGCCAGCTCGGGGTGACGGCCGTGGGTGTTGTGGGGTGGATGGTGCAGGGGGATCTGCTCACCTGTGTTCTCCTGGCAGGCGGGGGAGCAGAGCCGCCCTGAGCTCCTGGCACTGCCGGTGGGGCTGGAGCCCCCCGGGGCCGGGTACCGAGCCAGCTTGG